GTAAAATAACCTTCGACATTAAATTCGATACTATTGGTATCTACACCGGGAAAATTCTATATCGAGAAGCGTAAGTATCGTTCATTTTGTTCTTTTTGAATTAACAAGCGTTATCTGGATAAAATAAATTAATGGGAATTTGATGACAATTTATATCATTTAACTCTCATTTTTACTCTTTTTTATCAATTTTTTTTTAAACAGAAATTCATTTTTTTGTTAACTTTCTAGCGAAGTAAAGCATATTTTGCATCCGGAGACAGAAGCAATCGAGATGCAAAGTTATCATTGGTAGCTGCAACCAAAGCTGCGGTCAAATAAGATTTTGAAAGTAATGCACCATTCAAGTTCCTATAAAATACGTTTTCAAATCTGTTAACTGTAATGAAACGTGAAAGTAGAAAATAAGTTGCGCACATACTACAGCATGCTTACTTGCTTGCTGTCATTACTTCTGCGTTCACTTTTTCTTCCCTCATTAGCTTTTTCATTATTTTTTCACCTATATTGACAAACTTCTGTTAAAAGAAAGATTGCGGTTGTCAATTAGTTGAAACTCCATATGGCACTGTTTCCTTAGACTGATATGCGAAGAATGTTGTACTGTAAGTGAATCACATAGCAAGTTTGCAGTTATCATGCAACTTACTTTAGAACAGAAGATGAAAGTTTTTTTTTAGCAGTAATCCTTGTTTGAAAAGGGTATTTTCATATGCATGACGAAAGCTACTGTCTTTCCATTCCTGTCGCCTACTGTCACTTTTGAAACATTGTAACGAAATTCACATAAAATGAAATTAATTAAAACAAAAAGTTCGTATGAAAGCACTAATTAAAAAAGTATGTACATTTCTAAATGCGCAAATATCGGCATGAATGACATGGGATCATTGGTAAGATTCTTTTTAGTTTTGGATAATGTTAGAAAAAAAGCAGATGAATGCTAAAATCAAAGGTAGAATATGAATATATGTAAAATTGAAATTCCACAAATTGTGATAG